GGGGATCAGCAGGTGCTGGGGGAGTCCCTGTTCCCCCGAGCGCCGCAAGGAGTGACCAGGAACAATGGTCACAAGCTGGCGGAGGGAAGGTTTAAGTTGGACATCAGGAGGCGCTACTTCACGGTTAGGGCGGATAGAGTCTGGAACCAGCTTCCAAGTGAGGTGGTGCAGGCTCCCACCCTGGGTGTTTTTAAGAGGAGGTTGGATGACCACCTTACTGGGGTCATTTGACCTTAGTGCTCTTCCTGCCATGGCAGGGGGTCGGACTAGATGATCTGCTCAGGTCCCTTCCGACCCTAGAAACTATGAAACTACCTGCTTCTGTTAATAATAAAATTGCTAAAAGATATTTCCTTTGTACTAGTGTACTGTGTGAAATAAATGTCTGATATTGAGCTGGCTGGCACTACCACTCAAGTCATCCAAGAAAATCCCAAGATTACTGACCACATGATCTTTCTATAGTTTTCAATAATGCTTACCAAACTATACAATTGAAATATCTCCTCAAGAAATAGCTACATTCAATTTTAGAATTCAGTTTACATAATCCTTCTGGGTAAAATTTACTAAAATGGACCAATGCTAGCTTTCACTTGGAGTTTCTGTTTAATAAATTTCAGCCCAGGGTGCATGTCCACAAGGGCAATTTTTAATATGAAAACAGAACAAAAAACTTCAAGATAAAGAGAAAGATGGTTTACCAGCCAACTGTGCTATTTTCTGCTTGGCAGCCAGCAGAGTCTTCTTAGTCTTCTCCTCCTTCTCGGTTATCTGTTGCTTGAGCTGTTCTTCCTGAGTAGTTCTCTCTTGCAGATCTTGATGAAGACGAGTAAGTTCCAGCTGTACTTGAGAAATCTGTTCCTGTAGACTCCTAGCTTCACTTTCCTTCTCTGCTATAGTCTACAGAAAAGTGATGTAGTATAGCTATAAAAGGCAGTGTTTCTCAACCCACAGGCCACAACCCAAAAGTGGGTCCCAAGACTATATGAAAGGGTTGCGAACAAACTTTGAAAATGGATCATCAGATGTCAAAAATGGATTATCCTTTAAAAGGAGAAAACCATGGCTTTTCCCTTACAGGCTGTCAGAGTTCCAGCCCACAAGGGGCTGGTTGGGGCCCCCATGCCCTACACACCCACCCCCTGCCCCACATAGTGCGGGGCTGAGGCCTGAGGGTAGGGGACAGCAGGTCAGGGGTGAGGGGCACTGGGTTGGGACTGGCCATTGATGTTCACAAATAGGTTCTGGTACAAAAAAAGGTTGAGAACCACTGCTATAAAAAGGCACTATAAAATGTGTGTGATGAGAGTGTTATGGTAAAATAAAAAAGTCCAGTGAACCTTGATGTAGCAATACCGACGTACTGTGTTAATGTAACCCCCCCGGACACTCCCTGAGACACTGCAATCTAGCCTTGTCTGCTATGCTTTTACACTGAACTTTTTTCATCCCTATTTACAAAGATTTCAGGGGAATAGCATCATATGGACTGAGCACCGGGTTAGAAACAAAGAATTTGAGTTCTAATCTTTTCCAATGAGTCAAATCACATGCAAGTCATTTTATTTGTTCTCCATTTGTGAAAACTGTATGGGGCAGGTGTTTATATACATTTATAGATGCCCATTTATTATCTCCAGTATGACGCACTGCTTTGAAAAACTATGTATTGTAGACGATAAAATAAGTCTATTCTTACCTTTTGTAAACATTCTATCTGACTTTCCAAGGATTTTGTCTTCACATCAGCCTGGCTAAGAGATTCTTTCAACTCCTGTACTTCCTGAACAGAGGCCTGCTGTTCTTGTTGTTGTTCTGCAGACGACTGAGCCGATGTCTCAGCAACCACCTGAAATATTTCAAAGTGATCCTGGGTGAAGGCTTTTGCTTTGGAAAGAAGCAGAATGCAGAAAGGCAGTATTATATATGCATTACTGCATATATATAATATTGTCACGTGCGCATTGATTATCAATAAAGTTTTAGGCAGAACACAAAATATACACATTATGATGGCTCTGTAAAAGAACAAGTCATATAATAACGTAAGCTAGAATACATTATAACCTTCCATTATTAATTTTGAAAGCAAGTGAATGTCAAACATTACTAGGTTTTTCTTTTTGTTTTGTTTTTAAAGGATCATATGAAATGATTAAGGGTGCACCGACAGCCTATATTTAAAGAGGCATATCTGCCGATACTTATCTAATACAGCTACCATCAGGTGGTAAGTCCAGTATGATAAAATGGGATGAAGGGGCATGGAGGGCAGATCAAAGCCCAGTGAGGAGGCGGCAGAGGTAGGCACAGCACAGTCAGGGTGGGGGCAGCGGGGGGACACGGGACAGAGGCAGTGGGGGCCAGATCTGCATGGAGCAGGGCAGGATGCAGCTGCAGGGTGGAGTCAGAGCCAGAGCTGCGCAGGGCTTTTCTTGCCAGGGGCTTGGCTCAGAGTGGGCTCCAGCAGCACTGGGAGGAGGCTGTAGCCACCCCAAATGTCTCTGCAGCTCTGCTCCCAGCCCTGTGTAGCCCCAGCTCAATGCTCTGCCTCTACCTGCTGGGAAAAGCTGGGGCTGTGCCGGGTGGTAGCACAGGGCTGGGAGCACAGTTGCAGAGACATTTGGGGTGGCTGCAGCCTCCTCCCAGTGCCACCAGAGCCCGTTCTGAGCCCAGCCCCTGACAAGAAAAACCCTGCACAGCACCAGCTCCACCCCGCATTTGCAGCCCATCCCATGCTGTGCAGATCCAGGAACACATGCCACCCTGCCCCCGCCCTCCCGAAGTGCAAGCAGCATCAGGAGCTGCCTCCACCCCTTGAGCCATGCCTCCATCCCAACCCCCCCAACCCCTCTCTCTCACCATGAGGGCGTTGATCTGATCCCCCCGCTCTTCAGACTTACCAGCTGGAGACTCTGCTCTGTGCTCCGCTCTGCTCCACGCTGCGCTGCGGCTGAGTGCAGCATGGGCATTTATCGGCTAAATTATTGGCCCAAACGGGCTGATATCCGACAGACAATTTTCTTTATATTGGTACTGATCTGATATCGGACCGATGCATCTGTGGCACCTCTAGAAATTATAACCAGCATTATATAGTTGGGTTCATTTTAAAAGTCTATCTGAACTGGCTGAACTTCACCAACAGAATTTACATTTACCTTGTCATGCTTTGCTTTCAGCTCTTCATACTGAGTCTTGTATCTGCGCCCAATTTTCTTAACCTGTGTTATAGTCTTGACTTTTTCTTGTATGTCAGCCACTTTCACGTCTAGCTCTTTCTGAAGATTATCCTTCTCAGTTCTTATTTTAGTTAGCTCATCCCTGAGAGTCTGAACGAGATTCTGGCTTGTGGTCAGGGATGCATTAGCTCTAAAATATCAAAATTGGAGGAAGAGTGCATGTTAACATATTTGAGATTTTTTTTTTTTTTTAGAAGGAATGCAGTCTGATATTGCTGTGCTATGCAGTATCATAATTCACAAAAAAATGCACATGGCTTGCTAAAATATTATATTTTTACTTTGCTTTTTATATTTTAAAATGTTGTATTTGGAGTCATCTGGTTAATATTTGGACTAAGATTTGTTCCCAAAGCAAATAAATAATAAAATTGGTTAAATTGCTGGACAAATACTGAAAATATAATATTTGTACAAAATGAGCTAGGAATTCCATTTCCAGATGCTGTCATATATATTATGCAATGAAACACTTCTAGGAGCCGCCCCCATCCCCCCAAAAAGTTTTTCAATGATTTTATATACTATACCTTGCTATTTCTGCTTTAAGCCTTCCTGTTTCTTCACTCATCTGCTGTATGCGTTTGGTATTTGCCTCCTTCTCTGAAAGGAGCTTCCGATATTCTTCAACATCAGTGTCTTTTTGTTGGCTCAGTAAATGCTGTACAACGTATAAACTGAATGAGTTTATTTTTGCAATAAGAAAACATTCTACCCTATAGAATTTTAACAAGCTGTAGTGTTGCTTTTCCATTGTATTCAATTTAGTTTAGACAGCATCCTAAATTAGGGATAGGACATTTTATGCTATAAATTCAAGGCTTATAAATGCAAATTCATTGAAGTGTCATAAAACAAATACAATTAATTGTTCCATCCCATTTCATGTGCTAGAACAATTGATTAGTACTAACATTCTTTCTTGGAAATATCTGTTTTGGAAAGATGAACTACTCACCTGGGTCCTGGCTTTCCAACGTTTAACATCTTCTTCCAGTAGTTTCTTCTCTGCCTGCAGCATTCCACTTTTCTCACTCAGCTCAGCATTAGATTCTTGTAAAGGCAAGATATCTGCTTCTAGTTTACGTACCTGAAAAAAAAAAAATCGATGTTAGATATCAATATACACCTCCATTCTGGTGTCATTATGTTGTGGACAGGAGATGAGTCATTGTTTTTAAATCAGCAGGGAGATAGGGAGGTGAAAATGAATGGATCCCTTCTCTTTGAGTTGTGTTGCAGATGCCTATACACATGCATCAAGGCTGCTCTGAGCATCAGAGCAGACTCAATTAATCGGGGATGCTGATGCACTTGCTGTTCGGGGCACTACAATTAGAGCAGCTTTCTAATTAAACGCCCCACTCCCGCTTCCTGGACCATGTGTATAAATGCCCTTACTGACCAGCTGCAAGTACTGGTGAACTCACAAGTGCAGGTGACAATCAATTTAAACCCTTCCAGGGCTTTTAAAGGCTCCTCTGTGGCCAAGTTCAGTGTAAATAAAAGCTTAGACAGACAATGCAATCTAATTTTTTGTTCACAGACCTCATAGAAGTCTTTGTAAACTGAAATTCCCATTCCTTTCTTGCGGAGGGAGAGTAAAAAGCTACAGAGAGCAGAGTCCTAGGTCTACCTGGAGCATGACTATTGTGAGAAGAGAGTAATATAGCATCTCCCTCCAATGTTAGATTACATTATGGCCTGTGGATTAACACTATCCCTGTGTTAACTTTCATTCCTTATCAAGGATTCAATAGGAAGCAAGAATTAAATTGTTTAAATCTTTCATTGTGGCAAATAGGTCTATCCTGGAACATATTGCACTGAACAGTTTTTCATTTGTGCATGAAATGAGAGAAAAAACACCCAACCCACCAGTTACTGTAATTAGTGGGGATCCTGGTTTTCTCTGTTTAAAAATCCCAACTCCTCTGATTAAATCTCCCAAGATCTGTGTTTTTCCACGATTAGTGAAATGCCATTATATATACAGGTATCAGCTGAGTGCAATGTCTTATTGATATATTTACAATCTTAAAGCAATTTGGAAGCCTAACAGTGCCTCAATCACTATAATAAAGTAACTGTGAATAACCTACATGCTGTGGCATTTGATTTTGGTTTTCTTTCTAATCATAAAAAAAAAAAAAATCAGAGCTCCCCTTGCCCCTTTGCTCACCAGGACATGGGTCTAGCTGCAGCTGCCCCCCTGACACTGCTTTGTGGCACTGAGCAGCCCCAATATGCTGGTGCCCAGCCCCTGCTGTTGCTCCTCACTTGCAACCCACAGCCTTCTGGGCCCTGCCAGCACCCCTCACTCTCGACCCACAGCCCCTTGGCCCTGCTGGTGCCCCTAAACACACATCCACAGCCCCCCCACCCTTTCCCTGCCCTGCTGATACCCCTCGCTCCTGCCCCGCTGCCCTGAAGTGTGTGACAAAAGGGGTGAGTGTGTGGGGAATGGGGTGGATATGGGGAAGGAAGGCTGGTGTGGGCACAGGTGACACAGTGGAGAGGGAAGAGGCGCATGTCCCCACCCTCCCCCCCAGATTTCTGCTTCCGCAGCAGGGCTGCAGCTGGGCTAGGAACTATGGCCCAGCCAACAGGACCCAGCACAGGATGGAATGCTGCGCCATCATGGCCACCAAGCTGAGGCAACCAGCTACCTGCCTGGCAGCAGTTGGGGCACAACTCTGCGCCTCTGCAGTGTACCTCACCTTGGTGGCTGTAGCGGTGGTGCGTGTCCCGCTGCGCCAGGTCCCTCCCACTGGGCCGTGGAGGCAGCTCTTGCCCAGGGCTGTTCTTGCCCAGCTGCAGCCCTGCACCCTGCTATGAGCAAAGAAGTTTGGGGGGGGGCACCCCCCCACCACATTGCCCCCTCCCCTGCCCCCATAGATATACCTGGAGAGAGCTGCAGGAGCTGCTCTCCACAGCTGCTTAGGCTCCTACCTGCATGTGCATATTCACATAGCACCCCCTGCCTCCAATTGCTCTCCCCTGCTCCCTGCAGTCCCAAACAGCCCCTTGAAGACTGGAACTCTGCCAGTCTCCAAGGGGAAACCCAGTTTCCTGTGTTTTTCCCCATTAAAGGACAAAAATCCATGTTTTTCCAGTGAAAGAAAACCCAGATCCCTGATAATTAGCAATCTGTTATATCCAATTAAGCAAGACACTAATTTCATTTGTTTTCATGTGACACACGTGAATGTCTGAAACCTTCCTCATAAATCTCAGCACCAACCTTTGCTTGCATTTGCTGTAATTCTTGTTCAAGCCTCTCCTTTTCTTCCCGCAGCATTTTGTTTGTTTCTATTAGAACATTCATGGTTTCAGTCTTTTTCATTAGTTCCTCATGCTGAGCTATTGTCCTTGCAGTTACCTGTTAGGTCAGAAAAAAAATCATTTAAATCCTTCCTCTGTAGCAGGAGGGCGTGGCCATCTTCCTTTGGCTCTCAAGTGTATCTGAACAACGCTTATAGTGGCAAGACACAGCTAGCCCTTGCTTCCCTGCTTTATTTATTACAGGCTACAACAATATACCCTTGGTGTTGTGTGACAGTGTTGACTGTGGAGTTTTAAGAATAAATTAAATAAGGACTTGCATGGATAGTTTGGATAGGGATGATCCTGCCTAGATCAGAGAGGACTGGATTAAAGTATCTCCTGAAGTCTCTTCCAGCCCTCTTTTCTATTACTGTATGGTTTAACTTTAAGCATTTGTACATGTACACAATTTTAACTGGCATTAGACCATAACAGAAAACTATCCTTGTATTCTTTAATTTACTGAACAAAAGCAAATAAGGACAGGGGAAAAAAATCAAGTCAGAATATTTACAGAAGTACTGGACTTTACAAAAGTTTCTCAGTATATATATCTAAGCACTTATTTTCTACTTTTCTTAAATCTATTGCACTGTAGTACCCTGGGGTGCCTTAAGGTCTTTTCAAGGGTCCTGCAGGGTGCCACACATTGCAAACACTGTCAGGTGTGTAAATATGATGATTCACAAGATAAACCCAGAGATTTCAAATAGGAACCCACACTGTTAAAATGTTCTGACCTGTTGTGGTCTGAGTTATTTGTAATAGAAGTGTTCTATTATTTTTCTGCAGTTGAAAAACAAGGGGGAACAAGCTGGCATTTTCCAAGGGATGCCTTGAATTTAGCTACACATGTACCAAGTGTAAAAAGCTTGAGAACCACTGATCTATTCTCTACAATTGCTCTATTGCTTTTGAGAAGGAGTTCATGGGGTTATAAAAATAAGGCCAGCAAGATGGGCTAAATTTAAGCCTCAAACTGAATTTTTCTAAAATTATTTGCTTTCAGACACGTGGTAGAAAGACTGGAGTACAGAAGAAGATACTTCAGCCAGTAATGGACAGGTTATGTACACACCTGCACCTTCTCTCTCTCAGCATTCAGACTGTCTTGCAGTTCTTGGAGCTCCTTTTCCAGGTGTTCCACCCTCTGACGGTAACGCAAGCTTTCCACCTGGGCCACCTCAAACCTAGTTTCAGCAATCTCCTTCTCCCGGCGTATAAATCTGCAATAAGAAAAGTGGTGCCATGAACTGAAGAGTGGAGGATAATGCAATTTTCAAATGAAGCAGCTAATGTCTCAGTACTTTAAAAAGACAAAAGATATGGAAACTGATTAAAAAGATCCAAAAGGAACTCCTAATATCTACCAATAAATAAAGGACACAAGAACCCTTAGCCTAGTCTAGGAAAAGGTCTCGCTATATGAAAACATTTTTCCTTCAGTGTTTGCCACAGATGCCAAATCCTGTTCTCTCTCTTTTCCATATTATACTGAAAAGCAGTAAGAAGTTGCAACCCTGCCTGCCTTTTACTGAATCAGGGCAAGCACCTTTCACTCACCTAAAAAGTGGTTAATATAAATTAATCCAAATTTTTCTCTTTCATAGTCCCAAGACTTGACATGAAAACAAATTAATCAGTTTGGTAACTGAATTTATTTACAAAAACTAAGGGAAATAGTCTAGGATCAAAGTTACCTAAGAATTTCCATGATTTGTTCTTGTGATTTGCCTTCTTCATTGAGAGAAACATTCAACACACTTGGGTTTGCTTCCTTCACTGATGTCACCATCTTATCACTCAGAGTCTCCAGTTGTTCATGTAATAATCTATTTTGTTTTTCTAAGTCTTCACTGCGAGAGACAAGTTTTGACACTTCATCCTGCAACAAAAAATATGTGAATGTTTGCCCATAGTGCATGGGTTTGAAAACCACAAACATCTGCACAGTTCAAAACAGCCACTGGAAACTGAAAAAGAAAACAAAAATCTACCTTTAACATTCTTTCCCGCTCTTCCCATGAAGCTTTGCACTCCAGCAATGCAGATTCAGCTTTCTGAGCAGCTTCCTCTAATTGTTGCCTTACAGCTGCATTCTTAGACACTTGCTCTTTAGCAGCCTGTAGCGCTTCAACGTCAGCTGCATGAAGCATTAATTCCCGCTCATATTTATTTTGAGCTTGTGAAGCTATCTTTGCCTGCAGGAAAAGGGCAACAACATTTTATTTCCTGAAGTTTATCAAATTATCACATATTCCTGACAGCTTTTGTGCTTGTACAAAGGTCACAATTGCAATAAGGTAAAATTCTCTTATATTAAAATGTGTCCTCTCTGATCTCTCTCAATAAACCAGCTAACCACAATACAATCAAAGCCACCTCAAAAAAGATGCTTTATCCTTCAGCTGACATTTCTGAAGGGCAGAAGCATGATTTGCTCCTGTGGAGATGTGACAAACCTCAGGAAGTGTGATTTTTATCCTAATACTTCTGTTTTAAATGTATTCATGTTGTTGTAATGTTGTGTGCCAGAGTCACAAAGTTAGTACATGGGGAAGGAATGGGTTAAAGGGACAATGAAACCAGAATTGCAGACCTATCCATTTACAGAAACTGGAATAGCTTTGACAACATATCAAGAAAGGTGCAGAGTGCAGGTAACATCCAGGAGGTGTCTAGGAGAGACGGAAATAATCATGAAAACAGATGGGCTGGCTGGACAAGAAGGGTGTCAGCTCCTGGTGGGGACAGTCTGAAGACAGGGTCTGGAGAGAGACCAGCAAACCAGCTTTGGGATTGGAAAGACTGGAAAGAGAACAGTGAGGCAATCTTTGGAGGTACTCTGGCCTGTGTGGCCTGGACTGGGAACAGAGAAATGGCTTAACCCTTTGGGGGGAAGGAGGGGG